AAAAATTTAAAATAATGAGTAGAAGTAAAGATTATCCTGTTTCTCTAATTTCAGTTGGCTCTTTAAAAGAGAATTTACATTTTGGTGACTTTTCTCAAAATTGGTGGGAAACTAGACAAAGCAATAATTCAAATGATATTGACAATATTTCTATTTTATATCCTATTCGTATTGGCATGGAAACAATGGTTATTCTTAATGAGACACGATTTTTTATTACTGTAGTTCAAGGCTGTGAAGGCTCATTATACCAACCTGGATATATATGTGAAGTTAATGGTAAAAAAAGTGAAGTTTTTAGTAATTCTTCAGCTGCTATAACTAACACTTATCAGGAACTTTTTAGCAGTAAATCAAAATTTTCTGGTCCTCTTATAATGGGACATAATAAATCAAAAATTAATGAACAAATTCTTGCAGACATAACTTTCTATCCATTTAATTGTATGTTTTCAAACATAAAATTATTTGTATATGGAATAGGTGCATTTACAAAGGATCATCTAGATAATACAGGTCCAGGTTTCAAATCATCTTTTGTTTATTTGATTGGAGCCAAAAAAATAAAAACTTTATTTGTTCAAGAAATTAATGAGAAGAACTCCAGTGTAAAAATGTATCAAAATTATAATTTGGTGTTCACATATATTGGTAATAGTCCTAATAATGTATGGGAGAAAGTTGGCATACTTTCACAGCATAAAGGAATAGATTTATTTGGTATAACAAGCCCTCAAGTTCAATCTTATATTCAAAAATTTCGTGTACCTAAATGTCTGCCTGAGGAATGGATTATAGAAGAAAAAATGAAACCTCTATGGGAATATCATTTACGACGATTCACATTAGCTTCAACACCATGGAATGAATTTTTTACTAAATGGTACCATGAAACGAAGACCATAATTGAAATTACTGCTGCTTTAAAAGCAATATATCCATCAACTCATTCATTTAATGAAAGAGAAATGCGAGCTTGGAGGACAATGTTGACTCATGCTGGATGTACAAATATAACACCTTTTAATAAAGGTGCATCACCAGTAAGTCATATATAAACAATGTATTTTTCATGCTTGAAATAAATTTCTATTACTCACTATTATTTATGCTGGTAGCATGAATTTTGGACAAAATCCAGCAATCCAGAAGCTGATTGCAATAATTTACAGTTTTTATATGATTCAGCATTTTTGAAACCAATTCCTAAACAGTATTGTAGTGATGGTGATGTTTTTTGGGATAGTTTTCAACAATCATTGCAAGCTAATGCAAAGGGATATAATGGAAAAAGAAGAATTCTATCTATAATAGCAGAAAAATTTCCATATAAAATTTTGACAGAGAAATTGAAAGTAAGTATTAGGATATAAAAATCAATCATCAATTAAAATTTATTTTTATAATTATAATAGGTGGCTTCTAATACAATTAATGAAGCAAAAAAATATGCACGAATTAATGGTCCTGGCTATGCAGTAACTGAAAGACCTATTAGAAAAATCAAAAAAATTACTTATGAACAAGAAAATCAATTCAATTCTTTTTTTCAAGATAAAGCCCATGTTATAATGAGCTCTTATAAAACTGATGCCAAAACAGGAGAACCAGTAGTTTACCTAAAAAATACAAAAAGGGCATTATGGGAAAAATTTAAATATAGTTTTCCCAATGGCATTAAAAGAACAACTTTCTACACCAAGCTAATGGGTAATCAATATGTTTATCGTGAAGATCTTGGGGGCTTGTGTTCCATATGTAGCTCATATGGATATGAAACATTTGAAAACATTATGAACCTGATAAAAGAAAAAATAAATAATATGGAATTACAGGTATTAATTAAAATATATGAAATGTGATATATAATAATCCACTAAATAATATTTCAATTAAATTAAAGAATGCCTTCCACTTACGTTGCCAATCATTACAACAATACTTAAAAAAACAATATGAAGAACATTTAGTGGTTACAGATCATGGAATAACTTCCCATGACTTGTGCATAAATCATTGCCTATTATATGCCTTTGGTGAGTGTAATGTTCCTCATACCCATACCTGCAATAAATGTCAAGAAGTATTCAAGCTTTTTGAAGATTTAAAAACAAATCTGAATACTTATTATGATGAAATCCAAGAATATCAAGATCGCTTGCTTTATTATATTGCACACCAGACCAGGAAAGTCTATTTGAATGCACAATTTAATGCTTCACTTTTAGATCTGGATGAAGATGGGGCAGTATTAGTAGTAGACTATAAAATGAAAATACTACCCAAAACCTCACGTGAGACAAAACAAGATTTTTTTGGAAAAAAAGGCTGGACCTTACATACAGTCTTGTTGTATACCAAATCCAATGAAAGTTCTGAAATCAATGTGGAAGCAATAGATCATTGGTCTACTGATGCTCGTCAGGATGCATGGTTTACTGCATTTTCATTGCATTCTGTAATAGAAAATTTGGAAATAAAGCCAAAATGGGTAAGTATAATCTCTGATAATGGCCCACACTATCATAACTCAGAACTCATGATTATAATGAGTAAATGGAATGAGTGGTATGGAATTCATGTAAAAAAATGGATATTCTTGGAAGCAGGAGAAGCCAAAACAGCAGTGGATTCTCACCATGCTCAGGTTTGAATTATAAAGTAAGAAAAGAATTCATTACCTTTAAATATTTCTAATGGTGATTTATTAGATATCACTTGCAATTAAACAATATGTTCGAGTTGGTGGAGAAATTCAGGAAGGAAATGATATTACTTCAGCTATTGAAAATACTGCTGGAACTTCAGTTGCTCATATTGAGCTCAATCATGGTAAATTTTTAATTATAAAAGATAAAAAAAAATATAAAGTGTTATTAGATGAAGTTAATAAATATTTATATTAGCTAATTACACCAAAAAAACAATAAAATTATACTTAGATAATAAAAAAGAAAAAGAAAAAACTATGACAATTCCTGGAATATCTAATTGGTTTGAATGGAATTGGCCCACAGAAGGTGAAAATGCAGGATATATTCAAGCACGAGGAATTCCAAATATTGGAAGGTGGACAACATTTTCTCCTGCACAAATTCAAAATATTACAAAAAATGAGATTAGTCAACCATCACCCCAAGTTTCTGAACCAACTAAACCAAAATCTCCTTGGAAAATACCTCTCCCACATGCATCAGGTAATTAAAGTATATCACTTGAATAACCCAAATTCATTTCTAAAAATTTTGTTGAAATATTAGGAATCTGTCCAAAAAGATTAGCATTGCCAGAATTAAAAAATGAGTTGACAAATCGAGGAATTGTATATGATAATCAAAATAAAAGGCAAAAGCTAATAGAAATGTTGGATAAAGAATTGAGTCAAGAAACTTTAGCAAATGTGGAAGGTAATAATATATGTTCATGATATTTTTAAATGTTGTAAAATTTTACTAACCTAGTTTTAGGCTTGCCTTTGAGAAATCGAAGCATGGTTCATCAGGAACAAGAAATAAGGTAAGATTAGACAAATAATATTTTTTTGTTTTATAATAATAATAGATATAATTAAATGCTTTACATATCACAGCCCATTAGAATCATCTGAGTTTCCACTAGTAGGTGGTTGGGCATTGAAAGAAGTCCAAAAATATGGGAAGAAGGGTGGTGGTAAACGTATGCCAAAAAGAATCATTCTCATTTTAGAACAATGTTTTTTGACAGGAAATATTGATAAGAGTTACCGAATGAGTCCTCAAGAAATGTTGGATGTTTTGAAATCAAAAGTAGAAGAAGGAGAAATTGAGAATTCAGATTTACCAAAATTACCAACTATACAAGGATGGATAACTAGATATTCAGCACAGTTACGTGAGAAAAATGCCAAAACAACACTTGGAGTCAGTAATTGAAAAACTCCTATAAATTTACTTTATTATTTAAAAAATTTATATAATATATGTATTAGATTTAAAAAAAAATATATACCTTCAATAAAAAAATTTCTTTTAAATTTATATACATAAAATTTTTTAAATTTCGAATTTATATAATAAATTTAAGTGGGAATCCAGCTTGGCGTCATATAGAAGTAAAAATAATTCATAGGAAAAATTTTTTAAAAATTGATATATTAAATCCTTGAGATTTTATGAACGTATTACAAGTATAATTGTTGTTTCTAAATCCATATATAGGAAGGTTACCTTAGGACTAAAACTTGGGCTTCGGAAAAAATCAATTAATGATCAGCAAAATTTAGCACCAAAATCGACTATTAATTTTCTCTACTTGTTTCACGGAACACGAATTAATAAAAAAAAATATTAAAAAATTTTGAAATTTACAAATTAATAAAAAAATTAACAAAAAAAATCTTGAAATTTAAATTAATAAAAAATGATGAAATTTAAATTAAAAAAAAATTATATATTTTCATTACCCAACGTCATATTTCTTTCACTTTTTACAAGTTTATTAAGTTTAATAGTAATCCTAGCAATTTCTTGATTAAGAAGTTGTCCTGATAATTCTTTACATGTAGCTGGATCATATCCAGGTTTAGCCAACTTCACAAAATCAATAAAAAATGGATTAGATATAACATTCCAAGGTATCCCATACACAACAAATGCACATAACAAGGCCTGATCTAATTTTTGTTTTTGTTCAAGATTGCAATCAGTATTTTCATAATATGAATGTAAATTATTATTGATTTTTCTTTTTTTAGAGTTAGAAGATTTCCTTGAATTTGTTGTACTTATTGACATTTTATCTTCAGATTCAATATCTGATACTGAATTTTTAATTGCAAGTTTTTTTAAATAAATTTGAGAAGTTTCTCTATCAACTTTTTCACATTTAAGTGCAAGATGTGCTTCTAATTTATCTGGAATGCCTCTCGTCCAAAATTTCAAGCAATATCTACATTTTGCAGTGTAGTGACCTTTTGATTTAGAGGTATTTTTTTCAAAATATTGCCATACATCTGAAGAAGGTCATCCACCTCTAATTATATTTGTTGTAGTAGGATCTTCATTACTTGATGTAAAATTAACTTGGGTTTCACTTTCAACTAAATTAATAGGGTGTTCAATATCTATACCTATATCATCATCTCTAAAACATGAAAACTTATGTAAATAAGTTTATTTGTACATATTTATATTAATGAATATTAACTTATGCCTACATATTATAAAATGCCATAATTTTTCCAAATTTAAAAAATATATCTTATTATTATATTACTATTATTACTAATATTATTGTTTCTACCAATAATAATAATGATGCAAAAAAATCCACTGATGATATCCAATATATATATGTATGTATATGTATGCGCACAGTAAATATGGTTTTTATTAAAAATTATTTAATTTTATTAATTTGTAAAAAAATAAGAATTACTGTTATATTCAATGAGGTATATATTTTTCAAGTGCAATTTCTCTTATATTTACATTGTTATGGAAGGAAGAAGTAAAGGATTTTTAAATTAGGATTTTAACCCCTTTACGCAGATTTAAGTCAACTGACTAAAGTTAAGTCAACGGCTAAAGTTAAGTCAAGTGACTAAAGTTAAGTCAAGTGACTAAAGTTAAGTCAACTGGCTAAAGTTAAGTCAACTGGCTAAAGTTAAGTTAAGTGACTAAAGTTAAGTCAACTGGCTAAAGTTAAGTCAACTGGCTAAAGTTAAGTCAGGTGGCTAAAGTTAAGTCATTACGTCAAATTATATGAAAAAAGCTAAACTTGACTTAATGCTTTAGTCATGTCATGTTGACTAAACCTTAGGGTTATGCAGCCAGCCCTGAGTGAGATTTGGGAAATTTCTTATTTTATTAATAATAATTGGCAACAAAATTTCATAATAATTTTACATTTGGTGACAATCGACAAGAACCCTAAATTTTTGTTGTTTCAAAATTTTGTACCCCATTAGGTTGCACAAATCGGTGGATATGTCAATCATTGATCTTTTTTATGTTGTGAAACTTGTTATTTCAATTGTTTTAAAATAGAAAAAAAAGGAGTCTCGATTTAACAGATATTTTTTTCCAGAAAATTCGATCTATAGGAAGTTGTAAAACATAGTAAAATTTGGATGATCTGCATCATAGTAAAATTTTATAATCAAATGTCTTCACACCCTTGTTTGATACCCTTGCTGTGTAGCAACCACCACCAAATTTGATATATAATTTCTTTATCATATGTGTCTACTTTATGAAAAATCTTAAAGCAGGTTGTTAATAAAACTGAAAATAATCTGACCCTCAAAGTCAAATTTTGCCTTTATATTCATATGCATAAAATTTTGTTTGATGCGTCCAATTGCAAGTACACAGTGAGTCTCGATTTAGCGGACCTCGATTTAGCGGATTTAGGGGTTTAATGGATAAATTTTCAAAACCAAATTTTTCTATAATTATTTTATCTCGATTTAACGGATTTAACGGATTTTCATATATTAGTCGTGTGACATTTCCCTGAGGCTGTTTTTCTATATGTGAAAATAAATTCGAATTTCGTGTCACATGAATTTTTT